TAAAGCATCCTGCTGAACACTTAGTGAAATCACTGGCAGTTTCCATGCTGGTCCTTCTTTTGGACTGTTAAATTTCTCTGCTAAGTAGATGAAAGGAGGAAAAGACAAATATATATTCCCCCCCCCCACTGTGTGCAGGATTTTTTTAAAAATACATCATCCTTTAACAAGAAGGATATAAAAGAAGCCAAGAAAAGTTCCAGGAACTTTAGATACATAAAAGGTCTAGTGTGTACCACCTTTTTTGGGTTTTTTAAAATTTTATTTGATCTTTTTTTAAAATATATTTAGTACAGGGTGTACAGGGTCACCCTGCATAGATCAAACTTGTAGTGATCCTCCTATTTTCATCCTGCCAAGCGCTGGGATTACAGGCATGCACCACCAGGCCCAGTCTCAATCACTGTCTTCTTGATATTGGAATAGTCCCTTGCGAAAAAAATCTAAAAGCTGAAAGTAGAACTGCTAAATTTGAATTAGAAGTGGGGAACTACAGCCTGTTCACCCAACTGGTCTTCCTCTCTCTCTGCCCCTTCTTTTACAACCCCTCCCACTATTGGAGAGAAATGTTGGAGTTCTCAGAACACAATATAAAGCCATGGATTTAGTACAGTTGTACTTTTTGGGAGGCGTGGTGCTTGGGATCAAACCCAGGGCCTCGTGCATACCAGGTGAGTACACTACCACTAAACTACAACCCTGACCCCAGTTCTACATTATGGAGCCACAGACCTAGGAGAGATGTGATTTACTTGAGATAACACAAAGGATTAGTAACAGCATCAGGCCTAGAACAACCTCAGCCTGGGGCTTTCTCCTATATCAAACTATCTCTACTGGTATTCAGAATAAGCTAGATCAGCAGGACTTGAATGTTCCAGATAATCCATGTGGAGGAAGAAGAAAAGAGAACCTACATTAAGTGACATAATGTAATTTATCACAATTTTACAAGTGTTCATAAAAGTACAAGGTCAGCAAGCAGAGATGCCAAGTCAGAATTCAAAGACTAATTTCCTCAATTACATGTTTGAAATATCATAAACTAAAGGTTGTATATTGGTGACCTGGTGGCCAAACCTGTCCCACAAATATATGCTTAGTTTGACTGTATATACCTTTGTGATATTGATCAAGTTACATGAGTTATGATTTGATTTCCTCATCTGAAAAATGGGTTATTGGAGGAAAAAGAATAGCTGATACCTATAAATCTCTTAGAATTACTGTTAGTTCCATGAGTATTATTTTATCTTGTTTTATTTTTAAATTTTATGCCAACATTTAAAATAAAATAAGTTGGGTGTGGAGATACATGCCTAATATCCCAACACTGGACTTTGAGATAGCTCAGTGGCACATACAATTGCCTGGTAAGTGCAAGATCTTCAGTTTTGTTTCCAGTACCAAAAAAAATTTTGGGGCTGGGGATATAGCTCAGTAGAATAAGCACTTGCCTGGCAAGCACAAGGGCCTGAGTTCAATCCCCAGTTCCGCAAAAAAAAAAAAATTTTTTTGCCCTATAATTCCAGCACTTGGGGTTGGTTCTACGGCTGAGGAAGGAGGGTCTCAAATTCAAGACCAACCTGGGCTTAAAAGTAAAAGCTCATCTCAATAATAATAATAATAATAATAATAATAAAGAATTCACCTACAAATTCATTTCTCTGACTTCTCTGAAACAAAACCAGAATAAAATGGAGATCATGTTTTGTAAGTACCAAGCTGATTCATTTTAATTTTCTTAAATCATGTTCTATTACAGACTCTTCTCTAAAGCACAGCCCTGAGACTTTTTTCCCCTCATCAAGAGACAATAGAGTAAGCTTAATAGAATGAAAAATAAATTGCCAAATTTTCTCGGTTTCCCTTCACCTATGAAGTACAGCAAATAGTAAAAATCTCAGTTTTCCCACACTCCAAAAGATGTTCAGTACTTCTTTCAACACAGGATAGCTAGGCCACGAGGCTGGGACATAGAAAAGGGAAAGGCCTGACTCTCGTAATTAAAAGGTAGAAAAAAGAAGGAAACAAGCAAAGATGCATCCTCTGAGAGACATGCTTTTGTCTACCAGCTCTTCCAAAGAATAAGGATTCCTGTTCTTCTCCTGATTGGGATTCTAAATAGAGACAATGTCCAGATGATGCCTACACTACAGAACAGGCAACCATCTGGGTAAAAGGGGTACCACAATGTCACTGGAAAAAGAAAAAAAAGTTTTTATAGTGGCCCTCAGCCAGAGGTTAAATCCAAGCTCTTTGGTTTTTTTGTTGAACCAGGATTTGAAATCAGGACCTCATGCTTGCCAGACAAGAATCATGCCATGGAGCTATAACCTCAGGCCCAGTAAATCCAAGTTTTATAGGTCTTAAAACTGGTGAGATGGAGGCAAAAGAATATTTTCTAAGAAAAAGAGCACACACACACACACACACACACACACACACACAAGCTTGGGAAGAGCTCTGCAAAGTGAGTGGCCCTTAGCTCATGTGTGATATAGAACATATCCAGAGGTTCCCACATAGCCTGCAGAACAACAGAAAAAGTAACCCAGAATATTGCCTGGCAAGTATGGAGGAAGTGGCTCTATAGATTACTCTGGTCCAAAAACAAAAAGGAGTAACGGGCAAACCTCAGGAAGAGCTGTGGTTTGCCTCCAGGCTCTGAGCAAACTCAAGGAGGTCAGTCTATAAGATGTGAACAGCAGGTTCCTGAGAAGAAATGAAATAGTACAGGGACACCAAATGGGTTCAAGGTTTATGGCTTCCCCAATTATAACACTTCATACACACTGGCGCCATTTTAGGGACACCCAGAGAGGCAGACCACAAATACAGGGAAGACTGTTCCTTTCCAAAAGAAGTTATTACTATTCTAATCATTAGATATGAATGTTTTAAGCCAAATCAAATATATTAGATAAATTCAGAGATGTTAAAATAAAATGGTGATAAGATAAAAAGTGACTGTGGTAAAGCTACTTGAGAGACTCCTCTGTGAAGATGACATTGGAGCTGAAAAATAATGACCAAGAACCAGCTGTGCAAATGTCTAAGGAATATGCAAAGGGGTAAGCAAGGATGAAAAACTGTACAGTAATGTTTGAGGGCTCCAAGAACACCCAGATGTGCCAATGTTACCAGAATCCAGAAGGAGAGAGACAGGATGAAGTCACAGAAGTAGGCAAATGGAAATGATGAAAGACCTGTAGGCCACGGTAAGGTTTTTAAAATTTCATTTAGTATCTGATGAAAAGCCATTAGAGACTGAAAAAAAATTATGTGAGCCATTGAGGCCATGTCCAGAATGGGCCATAAGGGAACAAGGGTGGACACAGAAGAGGCATTGTGGGAATTCAGATGAATGAAGACAGTGGCTTAATCTGGGCCAGGGCCTTGGCAGTGGTAATAATGAAAACTAGTTGAATTCAAGATACGTGTTTTAGAGGCTGTGTTAGCTTCCATCACTATAACAAGACCCTTGACAAAATCATCTTAAAGAAGGAAAGGCTGGGCATGGTGGCAATGCACACCTGTAATCCCAGCACTCAGAAGGCTAAGGCAGGAGGATTGCTTCAAGTTGTAAATTCAAGCCATCCTGAACTGCATAGCAAAATTCTGTCTCAAAAAAAGACAAAAAGGAGGAGGAGAAGAAGTGTTTATTTGGGCTCAGATTCGGGGGTGTCCATTGTCAGCTGACTCTTGCTTTAGACCTATGGCAAGGCAGAAACACCATGGCAGAGGAGAGTTCTTCACTTCATGGTGCCCTGAAAGTGGGGCACATGTGTTGGGAAAAGAGGTATGATTTCCACTTTGGTTCTATCCAGACTCCCAGCCCACAGAATACCACCCATGTTCATGCTGAGTCTCCCATCCCAAGTTTGCTGTCCCACAAGCCAACGGTGTCTCAAAAGAACCTCACAGATACACCCACAAGTACACTTTACTGCATTCCTAAGTGTTTCTCAATCCAGTAAAGTTGGCAGTTAAAATTAGCTACCACAGAAGTTTAATAACTAGTTGTACGGCTCATAAATTGGATACTGGGAAGGGGGAAAAAAAGATAACTTAAGGGTAATGGATTCTTTGTTAGCCTTAACAATTAGATTAATGGTGCTGCCCATTATTTGAAATGGAGAATAAATCTGAAGGAGTGATCAGAGGAGGAAGCAAGAGTAATGTAACATCTTGCACATGTTAAATTTGATATGACATTTAGGTATACAAGTGGAATGAACATACGAATCTAGTTTCAGAAAGACAGAAGCGCTAGAGATAGGAACAGGAGACTCATCAGTATAAAACAAAAGGCTAAATAGAGTTACCTACAGAGTATACTATGAACTGAGCCCTGAGGGACTTCAAATTTATAACTTAGGAAGAAAAAGAGGATCAGTAGAGTAGCAGGAAAACTAGAAGTATATGTGGTCTCAGAAGCCAGGTAAAAACGTTACAAGAGACAGGATCAATTACTAATTTGTCCAATGTCACTGAGAGGACAAGTAAAATGAGGCCCAGGAGTTGACCAGAGAAGTAGGTCTGTGGTGATATAGAAAAGAACCACTTGAGCGGATTGGTATGGATAG